TGGGGGGAGAAGGGGGCGGGGAGAGCAGGCACTAGAGCAAAGAAAGGACCAGAATGGAAAGAGCCAGACATACTGGCTGTCAGGAAAGAGGCCTGGAGAACAGACAGAGAGGCAGGAAACGCCACTTCAGGCAGAGTCCCTCAGAAAGGGGTCTGGCTTTCCATCGTCTTCTGCACTTGTTAGCCAGGTTCTCTATTCTCTCTACAGCAGCACTGCCAAAGTCTCCAACAGGTCATGTTTATTTCTCCCAGACGTGTTTACAGAACAAGTGACAGAGGTGAACAGCATGGGTCAGGACGAAGTTAATGAATCACAAGTCACTGGGCAGGTTACCACAAAGCGTGTTTGGAAACTCCTGAGACGCAATCAGTTTGGCAAAGATCAAAACTGAAGAATGATGAGGCTGCCAAGGGCCAACCAGGTTCCTGCAATGATGCTTTTTTCTGGCGTTTAGTCAGTGTCCTGTTCTCTTTCTGGCTCCCCCTAGCCGTGATTCAAACAGGTAGTACAAGGTAAACTTTACGCAGTCACTGGGTGATCTTTTCACTACTACAAGACAGAAGTCCAGGCAACTGAGAATAAGCTGCCTCTCCACCAGGAGCAAGGCTGTTAGGAAAGCTTTGCCTAGACTTCTGTAAAGACCCTATCTCCAAATAAAGTGACACTCAGAGATACTAGGGAGAAAAAAAAAAGCCTTGCCTACACCGTGCACTCTGGCTGGTTCTCTTAAGTATAAACATGGACATCCTTACCTGCCCTCCCACCTCCAGTTACTGGTCTCCTTATCAGAGATTCTACTCTTATTTCAATACCTTCTCGTAAGCTACCTCTTCCAGTAAGGTTTCCTAGAGTTTTCTAATCAGGGTCCTGCTCTCCTACAGCAGGCATGCCACTCTCATCAAAGTCTTCATAGCCAACTTTCAAAAGAAAACTATGGGCGGTCTTCTTACCCACACTGGGTTCACAGACTCTTTTTCAAGGAGGGACTGTATTTTGATTCTTTTGAAATCCCTTAGACCTTGGAGTAAAGGGCACTCAACTGCCTTTTTTTTTTTTTTTAATCCTCACCCGAGGATATTTTTTCCGTTGCTTCTCAGAGAGAGTGGAAGGGAGAGAGAGACATCAATTGGTTGCCTCCCTGCACGAGCCCTAACTGGAGCCGGGGATTGAGCCTGCAGCGGAGGTACTTGTCCTTGGCTGGAATCAAACTGCGGACCCTTTGGTCCGAGGGCTGATGCCCTAACCACTGAGCAAAACTGGCTCAAATGCCATTTCTAAAGGGGCTGAATTTGGAGTTATAACAATTACAGGGCAAATCTTGTAGATTCAAGTACTTGTAGCAGCCTTCACTAGTAACTTCTTTCTGCTATCACTTTCTAAGATGAGCTGCAGTACCAAAGAGTGTCCAGAAAATTGGCTTTCTACTGATGTTCAAAGCAAATGATAGGTTTGCACTGTTCCCAGATCCTAACCTGAAAAATGTAAGGAATCGAAATAGAACCAGAAAAGAACATTTGTTGGTCTTACAATCATTCCCACATGCACACATCCCTAACCACAGACCCTACCAAAATGGAGCTTGGAAGATTAGCTTTTCCTCTGCTGCTCTAACTATACTCAGTTGACAGCAAGTGAGCATCGCATGTGCCAAGCACTAAGATGAATAGATTACCAAGAAATGAGTCCTACACCCTCCCATTAGATTGGGTAACATGTTTCCCAATCTTTTCAATCTATATCACCTTCTTGAGAAACATAAAAATACCACACCCTTCTATATTTGGTTTTTTAGTAACCCAACATAAAATTATTAGTCTTTATATTCCTTTCTAAATGAAACTAAATAGATTCTGATATATAGCTCATCAAGCTCCTCCATCCACAACCAACTGTATCTCCTCACATTCAGCTCCACTGGATTATGATTTTAAATAATTCTAGGGTACCAAGGAAATATGCTACATCAATATCAGGGTTTTGCATTTCCTGTGAGAAAAGCTATCTAGATTCTTGACCAAAAATTCTCAAAATTAATCCGAGTTAAGAGAAACAAGATGCAAATGCATGCTGGAGGAGTGCTTAAGTAAACAAGATCAAAAGCAAGGCCCAGAGCCTGGCCGGGCGTGGCTCAGTGATCTAGCATGGACCTAGGATCCAGGAGATCACAGTTAGATTCCCTGTCAGGGCACATGCCCAAGCTGCAGGCTTGCTCCTCAATCCTGGGGGTGAGGGGTGGGGGGTGCAGGAGGCAGCCCATCAATGATGGCTCTCTCATCATTGATGTTTCTCTCTCTCTCCCCCTCTTCCTTCCTCTCTCTCTCTCTGAAATTAATAAAGATATATTTTTTTAAAAAAGCAAGGCCCAGAATTAGCCTAACAGATGACACGGCCTTTTATGGCCTCAAACATAATATCCGTTTAACTCTCCCCCACTGGAAATACCTTTGGAACTGGAGTTACTGCCTAAGGTAGAATTGAACTGAACTAAAACATGGAGAACTTAGAAGAGAGAAACCTACAAAGGATAGACACAAAGAAAATAATCTTACTCCACTCCCCGTAAAGCATGCTATTCCTGCTCTTCTTATCCATACAAAAATAAAAAATAAATTTAAAAAAAAATAAAGTCTTGATCAGAGAATGAACACCAACTGCTTAGATGTGTCAAGCTGCAAAGATCCATTTGGCACAGGTATGAGTTAAGGTCTCTCAGTCTGCATTCTAACAGAACCTGTACAGTAAATAAAAGTCTACACTCCAGCTCAGAAGGAAGAATCTGCTCGCTCTATGGGTGCTTCCATTCATCTTAACCTTGCCATTTATCTTGCTATCCTTTCTCATGATTCATCCCTGAAACAGAACAGCTGTTAGCAGCAGCAGCACACACACATCACCCTTCTGCAGCAGGCTGGCCAGAGCACCCAGAGGGGAAGGGCTGCAGCAGACGCGAGCCCCGAAGCAGCCCGAGAAGCCCTAAGCCCACCACAGGTCAACAAGACAAGCAGGGGCAACCTCGCATTCCCTGTGGTCCAAATCCCTCCGCCCACCTGGCTCTGAGCAACCCTCTCTCTGCCACTGGTCAAGGCAGCACAGACGTTTTCAAAGGCTCCATATAGGTGGTCTTGAAATGTCCTCGGCTTAACCCAAAACCTCTTGTGCGTGAAGGCCCCGTGGGTGCCGGCCCAGCCCATCACCCGAGCAGGGCAGGATGCTCCTGAAGCTACTAGCAGGGGGGAGGTACAGGATTTCAAAACACCCAGGAATCCTATTTTTTTAAAATATGGGCATTAAAAAATAAGGTGTGAAGGTGGGAGGCAGGAACCTGTGCTGCCTGAAGCGGGGAGGCAGCCCCAGTACTCAGCCAGGTAAATCGCGGCCGCGACGCACCTGCGCGAGGGCGGCAGGGTC